TTGGTTTTAGAAAAATTGTACTTGATTATATATTTTTTAAAGGTTTTATTTATTTATTTGAGAGAAAGCGCGCATGAGAGAGCACGAGGAGGGGGACAGAGGGAGAAGCAGAGCAGGGAGCCACATCTGGGGCTCGATCCCAGGACCCCAGGATCATGACCTGAGCCGAAGGCAGATGCTTAACCAACTGAGCCACCCAGGCGCCCCTGTACTTGATTGTATTTATGAAAGTATGAGATGTCTTGATTTCTTTTTCAGATGTGAAAGGAGGACCACTGAGAGATTATCAGATTCGAGGGCTGAACTGGTTGATCTCTTTGTATGAAAATGGAGTCAATGGTATCTTGGCAGATGAAATGGTAAGGAGTTGATAGCTAAAAACACAATCTCAGTTACCAATTTTTATGTAAATTTGAAATACCTGCGCTGTATTGTCCCCCTGAGGCCTGGAGGCTAATTGCTTTATTAGGTACAATGTAAAAAGCATTTGTAAAGTCTAGAATTGTTTCTTTAAGTAACCTCTAGAACATATACTTTCACAGGCTACAAATTCTTTTTTTTTTTTTTAAAGATTTTATTTATTTATTTGAGAGAGAGAGAATGAGAGATAGAGAGCACGAGAGGGAAGAGGGTCAGAGGGAGAAGCAGACTCCCCGCTGAGCAGGGAGCCCGATGTGGGACTCGATCCCGGGACTCCAGGATCATGACCTGAGCCGAAGGCAGTCGCTTAACCAACTGAGCCACCCAGGCGCCCTCACAGGCTACAAATTCTTAGTGCGATTTCCTCATATGGTTTAAAAAACCTCCTTGTACTTTTGTTTTTGTTTGCACTTTGGCTTCCAGGAAACTCAGAGCCAAAATGAATGCCAAAATGGAGACCCTGTGTAACATAATGGCCAGCCCATTATGCCTTTATGCCTTTTCCTGTTCTATACCTTCTAATCTTTCCTTGGCCCTTCTTTATTTCTATTTTACCATTAATTTATGTTCCTTGTTTTCTTTCTTTTTTAAAGATTTTATTTATTTATTTGAGAGAGAGAGAATGAGAGATCGAGAGCTTGAGAGGGAAGAGGTTCAGAGGGAGAAGCAGACTCCCTGCTCAGCAGGGAGCCCGATGTGGGACTCGATCCCCGGACTCCAGGATCATGACCTGAGCTGAAGGCAGTCGCTTAACCAACTGAGCCACCCAGGCGCCCCTATGTTCCATGTTTTCATTGTAGGCCACCTGGAACATTTTCTTTGTAGGCGACCTGAAATCCTTTTGGTAATGAAGTGGGGGTATATAAACCAAACACTAAATGAGTGCATGAATAAACCAAACAATAAATGATGAAACCATGAATGAATGAATGTAAGCACCTCAATGTGTGAGCATTCAGAAAGGACTAGATGGAATAAAAAAAAAAAGTAAAGAGCAATGTTGAGTCCTGATATAGCAGAGTACCAGGTAGGACCTGGGAAATAAGCTAAGGAATGATGGGCATATAAATAAAATGACCAAAGAGAAAAAGTAAGACCATTTAAGATGCTAATTCAGCAGATCAGGGGAGTACATGAAGGCCTACATTGGTATTTTAAGACCAAATGAGTAAGATGGGATTTAAGAGAGAGTGGGGTGGGGGAGTTCTAGATTTTTATGACCTAGTGATACTCATATTTATGTGACTCTGGAGCCATATTTACATGACTATTTATGCTAAGTAACATGTAGTGTAGTAGTTGATCCCATAGATGCTGAGCAGCTGTTAGGTGTGTGGCAGGAGGTCCTTTAAATTAAGGGTCTGTAGGTCCTTATATTTAGTATTCTGGGTTGGAGACTACAATTAGCTCAGAGGGGGAGGAGCTTGGTTAATTGGATAACAGAAAGACCAGGATTATTTGCCCCAAGCTCCTCTTGGCTGCAGCCTGTCTAAAGGATCTAAAGAGCCTTCATACTGAATTTATGCTGATACCAGATACTTTTTGATTATTAAAAAAGGGAAAGATACTTTAATAAGGAGTCTAGAAAATTTGGAAAAAATCAAAAAAATTGAAAGTAAATTATAATTATGCTTCCTAGAAATAATCACAGTTGATATTTTGGCATATTTCATTTTAGTATTTTGACTCCAGATGTGTTTGTTTTACATAGTTGCGATCATATTGTATGTATAATTTGGTATTCTGATTTCTTCATATTCATACATTTTTTACATAGTTCAAATATTTATAAAAATGATTGTTAATTACTCTGTAACAATTAATCCTGGAGAGTTACCATAGTTCTATTCATCTCCTCCCTTATTGCGGGTCATTTGGATCGATGTGTAGTATGTAGTATATATTTTGTATATTTAGTATATATGGGTTGATATATATGTACTATGGTATGTAATAATACTGTTGTAAGAACCCTTGTAATTTAGTTTTCCTGCACCTTTCAAATTATTTCCATAGGATTCCTAAAAATGGAATTACTTGATTAAGGAATTTTATTTTATTTTATTTTATTTTTAGATTTTATTTATTTGAGAGAGAGAATGAGAGAGAGAGAGAGCACACGAGAGGGGGGAGGGTCAGAGGGAGAAGCAGACTCCCCTCTGAGCAGGGAGATCCTGCGGGACTCGATCTCGGGACTCCAGGATCATGACCTGAGCCGAAGGCAGTCGCTCAACCAACTGAGCCACCCAGGCGCCCTTGATTAAGGAATTTTAGATATTTTAAGGTTTTGATGCATCTCATTAAGTGAAATATTAGATGGGATAAACTCTATAAAAATAGTTTAAGCCTAGGTTTATAAATGCAAATATATACCTTGCATAGAGATAAAGCCAAAAACTCTTTTATTTTTTATTTTTATTTTTCTTAAAGATTTTATTTGTTTGACAGCGCGAGGGAGCACAAGCAGGGAGAGCAGGAGTAGGAGAGGGAGAAGCAGGCTCCCCGCTGAGCAGGGAGCCCGATGTGGGGCTCGATCCCAGGACCCTGGGATCATGACCTGAGCTGAAGGCAGATGCTTAACCATCTGAGCCACCCAGGCACCCCCAGAGACTCTTTTAAAAGGCCACACAGCATGGAACATTGTTCCCTTTCTCATCAGTTAGGTGGTGGGTTCGTGGTGTTCAATATGCTATTTTTTTTTAATGATCTTATTTATTTATTTGACAGAGACACAGCGAGAGAGGGAACGTAAGCAGGGGGAGTGAGAGAGGGAGAAGCAGGCTTCCCGCCAAGCAGGGAGCCCGATGCAGGGCTCGATCCCAGGACCCTGGGACCACGACCTGAGTCGAAGGCAGACGCCCAACGACAGAGCCACCCAGGCGCCCCTCAATATGCTATTTTTTAAAAAAGTTCACCAGACCAGGTCATCTCTAAGGCCCTTTCTGGCTGCAGAGTTCTTTCATGTTCTGTTCTTTGATGGTTCCATAGGTCTTCAAGGGTGTGAGATGCAAGTACAGAGAGCCACAAGTCCCTTGAGATTCATAGTCTGAATATTTCATGCCTGGGCTATAATAATGTTGGGGGCAATGGGAAAGAAAGACCAGTATCTAAGCAGGCTGATAAGGGAAATGAGTGTGAAACACATACACATGAAATCCCTAATTTTGGCTCTAGAAAAAATTATAAAGTAGACTGCTTGCTCCTTTAAGAGGAGCAACAAAGCAGCCTTCTACCTGCAAGTCCCTGGTTTCTTTTTGTGCACACAGTAAGTACAAATTGGAATGGTTATTCACTTAAAAAAAACAAAGGTCTTTAAATTTTTCCCTATGTGACATAGTTGACAAATGTCTTTTGTAATGTTATTACTAACAAAATGTTTCATTAAATAAACATTTATGGATTTTTTTCTTTGTAATGGTAATGCAGGGTCTTGGTAAGACTTTACAAACGATTGCTTTGCTTGGTTACCTGAAACATTACCGAAATATTCCCGGACCTCACATGGTTTTAGTTCCAAAGTCTACTTTATACAACTGGATGAATGAATTTAAACGATGGGTCCCATCTCTCCGTGTTATTTGTTTCGTCGGAGACAAGGATGCGAGAGTAAGTGAGAAATAGGTTTAAAGAGACCATCAAGAATAACATCATTTCTGGGGTTAAGTTGCCTACTATTACCATAAAAGACATTGAAGTTGACTGCTACTAGTAAATAACTCTACATTAAGGCTCTGTTTAAGTGCTTTTTATATAATAATTAATTCTCACAACACTCCTGTGAAGTAGATGTGTTACTTATTAATAACAGACAATCCATTACTATGTTTATCTGCATTTAATTTCAACTAGGTCATTAACCTCAGCATTTTTGAGTTGCATTTTAAATATCTTTTTATAAAAAAAGTCCTTATTGACAGTGTATCTTGTCAGTGACTCTATCAGTTGTGCTATTTTGACTCCAAAACTGTAATTTTGCATGACTTAATTTTTTGTTTAATTTTTTTATTTTTGACTTTGACTTGGTATACATGGACACGTGTGTGCTTACACACATGAATGGAACTTTTTCTATTTGTATGGAGAGCCTTGTGTTTTGTGTTTATTCATAGACACAGCTTTCAGTTTGGTCTTTGAATAGAAAAATACATATCTGCATACATTCTTAGATATTAGAAATTCTGGGCTCTTGCTTAAATTAGCCATTTGTCAATCTAGTAGGCTACAATTATTTAGGACTGTAAAATTAATCTAAAATAAATAAATTATGCAAAAATATCAAAATGAATAATCAGCTTAGAAAGCATATTATTAAACTTTGCCTTTATTTTGCCTCCAGAGGACATAGTTTAGAGTAAAGATTTATTCTATTTTACATATTTAGATACGTTATCAAAAGATATCCTTAAAAGAATGGTAGCATAATGAATTATGTAATTTTATTCTTATCATTTTGCTTGAAGAAAAATTACTTAAATTTATTTAAATTTAACTTATAAATAATTTAAATATTGAAATACTGAGCTCATAAATTTAGAATTATGGGCTTGATTCTTCCCTATGCCTAATATTTCCCAGTGGCAAGCTTTGCGCAGTGGCAGTATCGTAGCCAATGAGGTTTATCCGAGGCGCGATTATTGCTAATTGAAAACTAATATTTCCCAGTGGCAGATTAGTTACTTAGAACTCTTTCTAATCACTGCTGTTCTTTCCTTTTTAAAAAAGGTTTTATTTATTTATTTATTAGAGAGAGAAAGAGCACGAGTGGGGGGGAGGGGCAGAGGGAGAGGGAGAAAGAGAAGCAGACTTCTTGATGAGCTGAGAGCTGGACACAGGGATTGATCCCAGAACCTGGAGATCACGACCTGAGCCAAAGGCAGACACTCTCAGGTGCCTCTCACTGCTGTTCTTTGATGTAATACCACTCCTTATAAAACTTTGCATTTCTAAAGTACTGATTTTTGGCTGAAATTATTTCTTAAAGGTCATAAGCAAAAGAGAAATATCTACACTTGTTTCCAGGTATCTCAGTAAAACTGTCAGTGGTTTTCAACTATATTGTATGGAATCCAAGGATTTAATGAAGTATTTCTTCACTTTTTTTTATGAAGATTTTTATTTATTCACTTGAGACACACAGAGAGAGAGAGAGAGTATGAGCAGGGAGAGGGGCAGGGGGAAAGGGAGAAGCAGGCTCCCTGCTGAGCCAGGAGCCCGATGTGGGGCTCGATGTGGGGCTCGATCCCAGAACCCTGGGATCATGACCTGAGCTGAAGGCAGATGCTTAACCATCTGAGCCACCCAGGAGCCCCTAAAAGAAAGAGTGGATGTATTTAATTTGTGACTGTCCTATCTCTACCCCATGGGAGGTTGGGATTTTACTGGCAGCTTCAAAAATTTTTTAATCTTGAAAACCAATCTTCAAAGTCAGTGTTTTTCATATTGCCACTTGTTAATATTGGGAATTCATGTTGGTGGAGACAAGTTTTTAAAACATTGAGATACAAAAGAATGGAAAATGGCAGTGTTTCACTCATGGTGGGGATATGTACTGCTCCTTTTTTAAGGATTGCAACCTAAACTATAATTTTACTGTGGCCCATGGGCGAAAGAGTTTGCAAACTGGTAATTATTAATAACATAAATAATGTACTATATTCAACATTTAGAGATTGATGTCAGTATGCATAGTGAAAATCCAGATTATTACTTATAGACAGATTTGAATCTTGGGATATGGGATAGATATATTGGGTCTTTATAGTTTCCTGGCCTTTTGTAAATATTTTATGAGGTCAATATGTTATTAAAAAATTTGATGTAGATTATAACAGGTATTTGAGTTGGGAAATTCTTAGTAATACTATTGATCCAGTTTGATACTAATGTAGTCCTGAAGTATATAGAGGTGTGAATCCAAAGTAAGGTTTTTTAGTTTTTCTTTTTTTTTAAGTAGGCTCCACACCCAGCATGGGACTTGATCTTACAACCTTGAGATCAAGAGTTGCATGCTCTAACTGAGCCAGTTAGGCACCCCACCAAACTTGGTTTTTGACCCCTTCCTTTTCCACTCCAGAGGCATTAAAGATCTTGGACATGGAAACAGATCTGGTTTTAGTTCTGGTGTTGCCATTGACTGTGTGATGTTGAGTGACTCTTGAAGGGCCTTAATTTTGTCACCTATAAAGTGAGAGCTTTTGGATTATGTGATATTCAATGTTCTGTCACACAAATTTCAAAGTAGGGCTAATTTAAATTAAAAATGTGCATATGTTTCATGAAACTGTAGGAAGAACCATTAAACTGGGTGTTTCACAAAATCAAAGAAAGATAAGGTGTTTGCAAGACCAAATGGGGTCTGGTACCCTGGTTCTCTTTATGTTGTTTCCAATTCCCTAATGTCTTAATTAGCTTTTTCAATATGACCACTTCCCAGAGTGCAACTGAGATCTCTACAAAGGCCTTTTTTTCTGTTCTCTACTTTAGTCCAGGGGATCCTTTTGTATATATAGGCACTCAGTAAATATTTGTTGAATGAGTCCACAGTGTGTTTGGTGCATAACTGAGTTTATGAAATAATGAGTTTGCAGTGAACAGTTACTTTGTTTATGTACTGTAATTTTAGATTTACAGTACTAATCAGAACCTTCTCAGTATAGATTTGGCTGCTCCCTGTTAACTTCTGTGGTTTTATTTTGACCTGTAACATCTGGAATTCAGTTCATACAAGTTAAAAATGCTCTCAGTCAGCTTGGCTACTATGTTGGCCACTGCCTGTGAAGATTTAAAAACAGTTCTAAATAGTCTCACTGTTTTATTTTTTATTTTTTTAAAGATTTTATTTATTTATTTGACAGAGAGAGACACAGCGAGAGAGGGAACACAAGCAGGGGGAGTGGGAGAGGGAGAGGCAGGCCTCCCATGGAGCAGGGAGCTGATGCGGGGCTCGATCCCGGGACCCTGGGATCATGACCTGAGCCGAAGACAGACGCTTAACGACTGAGCCACCCAGGCGCCCCAGTCTCACTGTTTTAAATAGTCTCCTGTACTAGATAGAGCAAGTCCCCTTTATAAAATCATATCTGTAACCTCAAAACAACATCAGGAAGTTCACAGAAGCATTAATGGGCTTTCATGACCCCTTAACGAAATATGTGATTCATTCCTGCTAGAAAGGGAAGGAACATAAGAGATCTCAAAGGTTGAAATCATTCATGTCTATTGAGTTCTTTTCATTTGTTAAAACTGTATTGGTAATAGTTGGTGATGCTTGGCTCTTGGTAAGAACATGTTTTTCAGAAGGCAGTTACTTCACCCATGTTTTTTGGACCATCTGTCCTATGAAGAGAGCCTAGTAATGTAGTCATCTTCTGGTGATAAGAACTACTCTAGTTCATTGGATATGCTGTACTCTTTTAAGGGAAGCCTTTGCTTCTCTTTTGTTGATGAATATATTAGCATGTCATCCAGATAATTGCCCACAAATGTGTCTTTGGGCCTTGGTTTTCCTGTCTTTAAAATGGATGAGACTAAATGATTCCCAGGTCTCTCTCTTATAATTATTAATATTCTCTTGAGGTTTTAATTCTGTGACCATCTTGTCAGTGTATTCTAATATGAGGAACTTTATTTTGCATTAGGCTGCTTTTATTCGTGATGAAATGATGCCAGGAGAATGGGACGTTTGTGTTACTTCTTATGAGATGGTAATTAAAGAAAAATCTGTATTTAAAAAGTTTCATTGGCGATACCTAGTCATTGATGAGGCTCACAGAATAAAGAATGAAAAATCTAAGGTAAGCCAGTTTTCAATATCATTGTTAAAGTTTTCTTTTAACTACCATGTCTGTTTGTTTACTTCTGTGTATTCAAAATTAAAAAGGGTTGGAAGATTGTGATTTTATTCACAGAATGTGAATGAAAATCAGTTTTAAAAATGGTTTTAAAGTTTAAATTATTGAATATGAGACAAATGAAAATTGAGCACAGTTTTTAATATAAAGAAAATTAGGTGTTCATTTGCTATACTTGTTGCAGCCTAACTCTGTTATGCTACAGTATTTTAATATTTTGGTAATATTTGGTGTACAAAAGTCATTTGCATTGATTTGCCTTTTATTGAGGAGCCTACTAGCTTATGTATATTCATAAGGATTAAAAAAAACATTTCTTGGAATTATCTGATTTGTGTGAATTAGAGTGTGGTGTTAATTTTGAAAAATATCAATATTTCTTGCCATTCAACTCCATCAACAGTAGGAAAAGCCATCAGTTATTATGATGAGCCTCTCTTTGGATCACTGGGCTATTTTGGGAGAAACAGGGACAGAACTGGAGGAAAACTACCAGGTGGATCATACTAATTTCAAATTGAAACTAATAGCCAGTAAAAAAGGATGCATGTTAGAGAATAATTATTTGAGTGTATAAAAATGTGCATTTTTATTTGATAAGGTTACTATTCTTTTATGCTTTTGTGCTTTAATTTTTATAGTTTTATGTTTGTTTATTTTTTTAAAGATTTTATTTATTTATTTGACAGAGAGAGATACAGGGAGAGAGGGAACACAAGCAGAGGGAGTGGGAGAGGGAGAAACTGGCTTCCCGTGGAGCAGGGAGCCCGATGCAGGGCTCGATCCCAGGACCCTGGGATCATGACCTGAGCCGAAGGCAGACGCTTAACGACTGAACCACCCAGGCGCCCCTATAGCTTTATATTTAGAAAGTTAATGTAAGTTAAGAAAAATGGGTGCAACTCCGGTGCTTAGAAATTGTCATCAGGCCAAGTTAGAACTTGGCTAGGTATGTAGATGAACATGATTGGCAGGGAGAAGGAGATATTATTGTGTAAAGTGACTAGCCTGGATTCCATGGAGTTTTGACTGTTTCTGTGGACCCAAAATGGAGAAAATAAATTTTTTGAAGTGAGGGAGGGGTCTGAGGTATGACTATGATTTGCATTCTTGTAAGTATAGAAATGCCTAGGATATTTTGTTTAGTTGTGATTCATTGTGGCAATGTCACCTGAGCTAGGATATTTTCCTAGTTCAGAAAAATAATTTTCAAGTTTTATTTTATTCAAAACATGGTTGGATAAAGAACTGAATTTTGAGAATTCTAATAAATAAAGCGATGTTAACATAATTATTTTTCTAGCTTTCTGAGATTGTTCGTGAGTTCAAGTCAACCAACCGCTTGCTCCTAACTGGAACACCTTTGCAGAATAACCTGCATGAACTCTGGGCATTACTCAACTTTTTATTGCCTGATGTCTTTAATTCTGCAGATGTAAGTTTAAGTCATGTTTTAAATATGATTTTCTTATGTTCACAGACATCTGTTTTCAAAGCATAGAATGTAGATTGAAATTTATAGTTCTTTTTCATTTGTAATTCTTTATCTGTGTGTTTTGGTTTTCTCAGAAAAAAAAAAGCTCTTAAGCACAAATTTTTCAAATGGGGTTATTTAGAGAAATAATGTATCTTTTCTTTGAGATTATTCTGCCTGTTAAACTTTGCCTATATTGCATTGCTGTCACAATTTCTGATATGAAATAGGCTGAGTTCATAATAGTAAATTCAAAATTTTCTTTTAATTAAATTGGAAGGGCTTTCTACATACTAGTTTGGTAGGTGGAGTCTTTAAAATGGTCTTTAATTATTGTAGTCATTAACATTTGGTGAGCACTAAAGAGCTCATAATTAATGTGTGATTAGAAAAACAGCA